GGCAAGCGCAAAGGCCTGAGTTCAATCCCCGGTTCCGAAAAAAACAAAAAATTGACATAGTTTTAATCACAAAAATCAACCTTCACAATCATGCTGCACTTGAATGCAAAGTCAAATTATTTTATAAAGTTCACAAGTATGTCGCAGAAACTAAGTCAAACTGAACCTTGTGTTATTAGTAAGTTCTAACTTTAAAAAAAAAAAAGCCTAGTAGAGACGAAACACTCATAGCACACAAATCCTGAGCTGGTCATGTTATTGGAAAGCTAAACACCCATAGTCTTCATCTCAGTTACCAGTTAAAATACTGCCTCTTAGTGTCATTATGTGCCTAGCCTTTTTTTTTTTTTTTATGTATTTAGTACAGGGTCTCATTACAGAGATCAGACTCCTAGTGATCCTCCTGTTTTCTGCCTCCCAAGCACTGGAATTACAGTCATACACCACAATGCTCAGTCTCAGTCACTGTCCCATCGTGCCCCAGGGGCGGGGCCCAGCATGACACAATGGAGACTGAACTCATTCCCTGTGTCTGTCTAAGCAAGCACTTTAATCAGCTGAGCTATCTGGCCAGCCCTCTGTGCCTGGCTTCTTAATCCATTTAGATTAACAAATTCATCAGATCACATGTATTTTCTGCAAGTTTTCTTAAAATTTATATATCCCTCACATATGTTCCATTTGATAATTCTGCGATGATACCAAAAAGTTGGTTTTCTTAATGAATAAGTATTACTTAAAGGATTTGACAAATGACAAAGAAGGAACTCTATGCATTTTCTTTTCGATCTGGGTTGTGAAGTATGAAGTTTAAGCTCCATCTCAGTAATTATCCTGATTCTAGAATTGGTTGGTTTTTGTTTTGCTTTTTTACATAAAAAAAAAAAGAAAAACATTTGGTCTGCTCTTTGCTCTGTGATTTTTTTGGAGTGGTTATAGGCACTTGGCTCAGAAAGGTGGAAAAAAGCTATTTGCAAATAGAGCTCACAAGAAGAAAACCAAGATTATGAAACATAAAGAAAATTGGGTAACATCTTTGTGAGCCCCTGGATCGAGTTATGCCTGAAGCAGTATTCTGCTTTTTTCCATGAAAGCAAATTTCCTTTTGATTGTATTTATTTTGGATTAGATTTTCATTCACTTAGAAGCTCTGAGAAAAAGTTTTGAGATTATCTGACAAATACTGCCATTGCTGTAAATCTTTTTTCTTTTAAAATAAGTCTTTATGAATGAAACCAAGAAAGGGAAAGTACTAGACATCATGTCACGGTGAGTATGTAACAAAGTAAGTTAAAAACACATTATTTTAAAGGAATTAGATTAAAGAAAGAAAACTGAAAAGCACAAACCTGTTAACTGCCATTCTGATTGACAGTTCTCTATAAGAACAGAAAAGAGGAACTTAGTAAAGAATCTTTAGAGATAAAGAGAGGAAAGGGAGAAATACCCCATGTACAAGAAACTAATTTTTCCAAGAAATGCACACAGTGTTCCACATGCAAACTTGGAACATACCTGCCAGACCAAATCAGGACCAAAATTAAAAGCTGGAGCTTCCTGGAAGAAGATAAATTGTAAATAACTTTATCCACTGTGCTTCCTTTTCCTTGCTTTCAGATGATTTCAGACCCCTGGCTCCAACTGCCTGGCACCTGTGTTCTGCAAGAGCACTGCCCCCACTTTAAAGTGGCCTCTCCAATACTCACCCTGCAGTGACACACTATTGCAACTCTCAAAGTTCAAAGGGGCACATAGAAATCTATAGATCTACTAGGCTGCAGTTCTACCCAGTGCTTGAAGTTAGGTAAGATTCCACAGATTTCACAACAAACACCTTTCTTTAATTGATGCAAAATGTGTCTAAAGTGTGATCCAAAAATGTGATGAATGTTTAATTTTTAAAAATTATGATGATAAAAGACACCATTACATCAACTAATCCCCCTCAACATAGCCTCTCCTACTTCAAGGACACATTCAATCATTCTTGACACTTTCTGAAGCAGTTCTAGAAGCTGTCTTACTTTAGTACTAAAGTAAAATCAAATCATTTGTCTTTCATGGTCATTTTGACTTTGGGGAAGAGCCAGAAATTGTGTGGTGCCATACTAATGAATAAGGTTAGTGAGGCTATACCTCAGTGGCATTACAGACATCCCTTACGTTAGATGGCACACAGAAAGAACATTCACTATATTTTTTTTATCCTATCTCATAAAGGCACCCACCAAAGAGTACTTCCAGACTGCTTCAACAAGTCCCAAGAACATGGTTTCTCTTACATGAAAAAGCAAAATCATAAATAAACAGCAAAAGAAAAGATAGATAATAAGAGGTAAGGGGACAGATCTTTCTTAAATAGGAAGGTGATTAAGAACTACAGGCGGGGGGAAGAAGAGGTAAGGAGAAGAAAAAAAAAGAATCAAGATATATATAAGAACAAGACGTATTTCAAACCAAGGGAGAGTATTTTGAAGGGGATTAATGGTAATGTGCCTTTCACTATTTTATTTATTATTTCATTTAATTTTTATTTATTTAGTTACTTTTTTGGTGGAACCAGGGATTGAACTCAAGCCCCTGTGCTTGCCAGGCAAGTGCTTATTCTACTGAGCCATCTTCCCAGCCTCTACTATTCTTTTTTAATGTAAACATTCCCCATAGGGTTTGACCAAACCTCCCATGTAGGGATATTTGGGGTTCAGAAGCTCACCTCCAATTTCTCTCAGAAACAAGAGACAAGTTTTAACTTGTGTTCCCTAATCTTTGTCATGTGCCTGAAACTATGGGGTCAGTTTACTCTAAAAAAGCTCTTTTAAAGATTTTTCCAGGGCAGTAGGTGCCACTTTCCCAAAGCTAAGACACAACAGGGTCCCACACTCCACTCTCTGGATTCAAAGATCACTGCTATTTGGTAGTCAACTCTTGTCTTGTATAATGTGGGTCTCCAACATTCTCTCCAATTTCCAATGCACAAAATTGGATGAGATCACAGCCTCTGTCATGAGTTATACACATGGCCAAGGCGATGACCCTCTACCAGCTGCCTCCATAACTCAATTTAGGTGTGTTCAGTATACACGTTAATGGAACCCAGATTTCTTTACAGACAAAACATAAGGCAGTGCTTTTGTAAATTAACAGGCATACAAAAAGAAAAACTCAGGCTGTTTCCTGACAAAATACATTGATTTTCATGTGTTCTAAAAATGTGTTCCTAAGCCTGCAAAACAGCATCCATAACAGCCATAATAGAAAAGCTTCAAGCTTAACTTAATGATAACATGTATATGTGAATTTGCCCTAATAATATTTTTATGCCTTCCTATAAAGACAGCCTAAATGAGTGTTTTTATTTCCTAATGATTTTATTTTATAATAGGACATTAAAATGCAAAAAGGTAAACTAGAATTCAAAATGATATCTACTTTAAAAAGTCACCATTAATAGCAATGTCTTTGTAGCATATTTACCAAGAAAATACCACATTACGAGAGTTGTTCATGTTCTCCAAAGATTTATAAAACTTATTTTTCCTTTATTTTAAAAAATGATAAATTGGAAATTGATTGAATATATCTCCTCACTTACTTCTTGTTTTAAGGACTGGAGAGGAAGATGGGAGGAGAATTGAGCCATTATACGCAAAATAAAAATCAAGTCCTTTATACTTTATATTTTCTTTTTACTTCTTTTAAGCTTTAACCATGTTTCTGGTTTGGTCACAGTGAGAAGTAAGAGTAAAATCTCAGTTATAAACCACTGCCTCTCCCAAAAAAACAATACTTTTTTTCCAAAACAAAGTTATATAAATTCAAAACAATTGATGTGCCACAATTAACAATTCTTTTTAATCCTATTAGTATATGGTTCCTTATATTTTCAAATCAATTTACTGCAAACACATCATGAGAGCCTATGATTTACGTAACCCCACTTGGGGGACATATGTTTTAAAGCCAATGTTATCTGCGCACACACAAAAACACTGCTTGGATAAAGACATTGCCATTGATGAGGGAAAAAATCCCAAGTCAGAACTGTACATGCCAAGAATTCAACAGTTAATATTAGTTTCTGTTTCCCTAGGACTCAGGGATTTGTTGGCAGACAGCTCAAAATCATGCACTACAAGAAAGACAGAAAAATCATGATCCTATCATCAAGCTTGAGAATTCTCTTGTAAGCTGATGGTGTCCAGGAAACTCCCTGAGTGTTAAGCTCAAGTATGGAATTTTCAGACCATGAACATCTTTATGAAACATTTTTCTTCACAGAACAGTTTAAAATGAGAACTTTTTTATTCTTAAACTATTTTGCTATTTTCTTCCAGCTAGCAAAAACTGGAAGTAAATAACTTGAAATTGCTAAATGTTGGCAAAGCCGTACTTTTCATTTAGATCTGCTTCTTAATTACAAATCATGGCTTGCCCATCATCATTTGCTTCATTATTTTTAGCATGCTCTAAGTCCACTCAGAATGATCATTATATTCTTTTCAATAAATGATTAGTTCCAGACTTGTTTAGAAGAAAACACTGGCATCATTAAAAAGTAAATTTTGCTGATAGTATGATTTCAATTATTCCATACCTCCAACGCACGTAAGCTAACTTCTCTTAAAAAAAACCTTATATCTCAAAAGTGGCTTTTAATTGTAATGTGCATGGAGAGGGTGGTTACTGTAGCATTAGAAATTTATTTTTAGAGCACATACAGAGACTCCTTTAGGGTTAATGGCATTGGACATATTCTGGAAATGAACCCAGCTTCTTTCAGCAAGGGACACTTGAGCCCTTTATTCATTCACCTAGAAAAGGGACCCTAATTAAAAAGCCAGTAAATTAAGTGCACCCAGGAAGGCAGAAAGATCCAGAAGCAAGGCACCCACCAAGTGCCTATAAAACATACAGGACTAATTTCACATATTTGTTAGGTATCATGAAGTTAGAACAAACTCTGAAGACAGCAGTTTTTGACAAATGTGCTCAGTGCTTACCTTCATTTCGATGACAGTCTGGAGAGCCTTCGTCTTGGCTGGCTCCGGCTGAAGTTGGCTTCTTCGGTGCAATTCCTGGGGAGGAACACGATAGAAATAAGCCTGACGGTTCATCCTTCCGCTACACCATGACCTTTACACCGCTATCAAACAGCCCACTGGGTCCAGGTTCCCCGTGCACAGACATAAACAAGCCACAGGTGCTGCTTCCCCCACACTCTTTAGCATCCCTCCTGCCTGCAGCCCGCGTTCCGGTGAAACGCTCCTGGCACATGCGCTATTTCTGAAACTTCCATCAATAATTAATGCCAACTGTGACAAAGCCAGCAAGTAATCATAGTCCAAATACTGTTCAACACTGGGGCTGATGCCCAGCCATCGAATCATAATTTAGTAAATTACATTACTCTGTGCTCCCAACACAAACACAGCAAGGGAATGGAAGAAAGAAAATGACTAACGTGGTTGCAAATCTGCTGCATACATGGCATTTTGCTACTGAGGTAGATTTAAAATGAGCAATTTAAAACCATTGCAGTGCAGTTGTGACATTTTTTCTGCAGTGATCTGATTAAATCCTCTGAATTCCTTGCTTCCAAATCCAAGTTTCCATCCTTGTTCAAAAATCACAACTGTAGCTGATATGTTTATATATCATGATGTCAAGAAATTAAAATGGCATTAATATCAACAGTTACAAGAAAGATAAAAATGGTTAAAGTCAGATGTGAATCCAGCAACTCATAGAATAAGGAATATTTCTTTAAATAAAGAATGAACAACATAATTACAGTTTTAAGTTTAAAGGCTCATTTGTTGCATGCCTTTCCTCAAAAGAACAGTTCTGTCTAGATTTTGAAATGTTGTCCAGGCAGATGGGACAAAGATAAGATTTGTTCAGGTCAGGCATTCATTTTCCTAACTGTCAACATAGTTATTAGAGTGGAAAACAGCAGGAATAAACAATGGGTGGGTCCAGACTATTGGTACAGGTCACTTATGGAGAAATTTCATTAAGACTTACTTCTGCTTTCTGAGAAATCAACTGAGTAATCAATATTAAATAGCTCTAGACTTCTGAACTACTGGACCATAAACATTTGTATTTTTTTTAAAAAGCCTTGGCAGCAGGAAGGACCAATATAATTTCTAGCTTTTCCAAATAAGGGCACTTAAACTTAAGTACCTTTACCACTATCTCTGCCATTTCATAAAGACAGGGTACATTAATGTAAATATTGTCCAAAGAACCAAATACTATAAAAATAACAGTCTACCGAGGATAAGAAACGTAAGCAAGTAATCTTTCTTTTTACTATCTTTTCCTTTTTTTTCCTGTCATTACTTCATGCTAGTAATACAGAATAGTGAGGTTCATTTTGGGAAAATGGTACATATATATCTCTTGATCATTTCCAATCTCATTCCCTCCTCTTCCTTTCCTGCCCCTTCCCCTTATTCTCTTCCTCAGTCTCCCCTCTTCAAAAATCTCCCACTTTCTTTTCATCTCTCTTTCCCTTCCTCCCTTCCCTTTTTCCTTTCTTCTCTTTTTTGTTACCTTCCTGCCTTCCTTCTGTTCCTCATATAAAAGAAAGTATTTAACTTTCTGAATCTTATTTTTTTATTTATTTATTTGGTTTCTCATATCAAGGAAAACATGTACCTTTTATCTGGGTCTGATGTATTTTGCTTAAGATGACAGTCTCTCATTCAATTTCCTGAAAGTGACATAACTGCATTCTATTAAATTTTATTTTATGCCAGTCACCTAAAGATCTTAACCATGGATCACTGTGCACATGTTCAGGGACCAACACTGGGCAATCACTGCTACAGCTCTAATTTCAGGAGTCAGAGATACATATACTTTCCTCAAAATCACTAGTGACACAAATCAGGGATCCAATGTAAATCTATTTCTCACCCTAGAATTCAAGAGCTGGGCTTTCTAATTATTGAAAATGCTCTCATGTCAGTTAGGACATACACATCCCTAGAAGAAATACAACAAGTACTATTGAACCTAAACCAAGATCACTATGTCCTTTTATAGCTCATAATTTCAAAAAGCTGGCAGTGTGGGCATTTTTAGGCTCCTTAGAGATAGCAGAGGTTTTCTGAAAAAACAACCTTATACGCAATTGTCCTTTATTATGCATCAACAATATCCCTGCCACTATTTCTTTCTTGTAAGTCTCAGAATTTCCAAAGAAACAAGATGACCTATGTTAAGTCCAGTGGGCTTCTGGTAAATATTTACAATAGAGGATGATGAGAAGCATCATTCCACCTAAGCAGCATCGTTTTTATACAATTGAAAAGTGCTGTGCTTTAGATACAGTGTGACTGTGTGCCTCAACATTGTGTTATTTGGAAGCTTGATCTCTAGTGCAGTAATGTGTGGGGTAGTGGAACTTTTTATTTATTTTTTTAATTAATTAATTTATTTATTTATTTATTTTTCCATAATTTTATTGCAAGACAAATAGCAATGAGACAGTTTCAAATCAAATTGGTAGGACAGTTTCAATAATTAACACATTACATACTGCCTTCCCTGTGGTTATTTGCTGTACAAGATGCAGACATGATATCCTATTTACAAACACTATTACAACAAATCCCTCTATTCATTAAGAGAATATAACTATATATCTATCCTAATCATTTTGAATACACAGATGCAAAATGGACATTCATCTGTATCCCCTTTTTTGTTTAGTTCTGTCATTTGAATATTATAGGTGTGTTAACTCAGCAAAATATTCTAAAAGAGTCCAGTAGTCCATAATAGTATTGGGTCTTC